CCCCCACCCCACCCCCACTCCTCTGGGCCCGCCCATTGGCGGCCTCGCCTCCGCTGGTGACGTCAGTGATTAGCCTCGCCCATCTGGACCCCACGTCCCTCTCATTGGCTGACTCCTGATGGCCCCGCCCCTCACCAGGTACTTGTCCCGGTGCTTGGATTGCAGCACGTGGGCCAGCTCGCGCAGGTGGCCCCGGTGCCGCTGTTCATCGGGCCGCGCGGGGAAGGCGGCGGCCAAGATGCGCTCCGTCACGTAGGTGAGGTCTAAGTCCCAGCGCCGCTCCATGAGCGGATCCAGGCTGAAGCTCCTGGGGAGGGGGAGCCTACGCATGAACGCAGGGGCAGGGCACCCGGAGGTGGCTAGTGTGATGGGAAGGCTGTCTGTTGGCAGCAGGTGAAGCCTGGTGGGTCCTGAGGGTGGGTGGGTCGGTCCGGAGGGAGAATACCGCTTTGGGGGTGGGGGGCTGTCCCGGGGAGCTTTGTTGAGGGGCAGCGCCCTGGGCTGAGGTGTGGGGCCGGCAGAAAGGGGGTCACGTGGGACCACCCCAGCACCCTCACTTACCTGGGCAGAGTGCTGCGCTGCTTTGAGTGGTTCAGAGATTTGGTGGATCCCTGGTGGATAACAGACAGTGTCTGGACATCTCTTTGGGTGCCCCCTACTCTAGACTGCCCACTCCAGAGCCATACACTTTTGTCTTCAGGAAATCTAGATCCTTACTCCCAAAGCTACCTGCTTCCCCCTCCTCCTCCAGCATCACCTTACCAGGTGCTCTATGCGCCTGACTGGGGCCGTGTTTCGCCGCTAGAGGGAGATGGGGGAGGAAAAGGGAGTGGTTACAGCAGGGGCAAGGACCAGTGTGGGCCTGGGAACAGTGGAAGGTAATGTCAGTGTCCTGATGAAGGCTGTACTGGACAAGGGGAGAGTTGTTCTATCCCCAGCAGGCCCAAGGGCACAAGATCAGCAGAGGACTTAGACAGTTTTTTCTTTCCTTGTAGGATGAGCAATACCCACAGCACTACATTCAAGGTCATCTCCTGGGGGCCCTCTCTGGAGCCACCAGACCTCTGGACACCATGGCCAGGTTCCTTGCCCTCCCCACCCCATCCCAGAGCGCACTCACCAACTCCGCGGGAGGCAAGGCCTGACAGGCTGAAGTCACCTGGAAGGGGACCGAGTAAGGAACTGAGCTCCTGGTGAAGGGCTCTCCTGGGCTTGAGGATGGGGTAGCCCCTCAGCTTCAGGAGGAAGGTGGAGGGGCCTTCAGCGGATAGGCACAGGCTCCAGCTGAGGTTGTGCTATTTAAGGGCACCTCCCCTCTGGCCTCTTGGTCCCCCACCCCCCAGGCCCCCCACTTGTTGCTCTTGGCGCTCAGCCCCCAGCCCACACAGACCCCCATTCATCCAGCTGCAGGGCAGGAGTTATATATAGCGCACGCAGGCAGGCCATGGCCAGGGATGGACACTGGCCTCTTTCACCGGGAGACCCCGCCCCTGGGCACACAGCTCCCCCAAGCCAGCTCCAGGGCCCTGGGACCCTCCTTCCCTGCCCTGCAGGAAGACCAGGGAACCTCCTCAGAGATAGGGCCGTCTTGGGTGCCCAGTGGACAGTGGGTGCTATCTACAGCTTATTTCTGGAAAGGCCCAGTTTTTCCAGGGCCCAGGACAAGGCCCGCCCAGGCATTTTGAGGACCCTTCCCCAGAGGGAAGGCACAGCCCATCCGGCTGCCCAGTCTCTGAAATCCTGCTCCCCCACCCCCCACCCACCCCACCCTTCCTCCTCCTCATTCTCCTCCTCTTCCCCACCCCCATCCTCTCGCCAGCTGCAGCCTGGGCACAGCACCAAGACAAACGCTGTCTCGCTGTCCACCCGCCTGGGCCGGCCAGCCCTCCAGAAGGCGGAGTAGGGTGGTTCTTAAAGGGCCCAGTCAGCACCCTTCCCACCCAGGAGGGGTTCCCCAATGGTGAGAGGGGTGGAGGTGGAGGGTTGATGCCAGTGTGGTTGGAGAAGCCTGTTTGGGAGGAGGAAGGGACTCCAGACCCTCTCCCCCTATCAGGTAGAATCAGATACCCACCTTTGCTTCACATTTTCTGTGCGTCGCCACCTTGCAGACTAGGGGAGGTAGGGGGAGGAGAGGGGTTAGCAGGGGCCTGTGGGACAGTGGAAGGAATGGCCTTCCCTCATCTCCCAGACCCTGGAACCAGATCCTGGGACTTCCAGGATCCCAGCTGGACTGGGCTGGCTAGGGCGGAGGAGCAGGGCTAGGTTTTGAGGGAAGAGTGTGGCAGTGGGGTACTATTGCCCAGGCCAGGGGTAACGTTCCAGGGTGGGTGGAGGTGAGGACGAAGGGAGGGAAGGAAGACTACAGTCACAAGTCAGGATGGGAAGATGGTGGAGAATACTGGGTCTCCTGGGTTGTGGGGGGTGTCTGTCATGGGGAGCCAGGGCCATCTGAAGGGGGAGGCAGCCGCCTCTTAGGTGCCATTGTGCCTAATCCAGGAGCAGCATATTACATTTGAGATTGTGTGAGTTGGCCTGCTGGAGTTGTGCAACACAGTGGTACTGGGTGGAGGGTCTCAGAGTCACAGGACAGAGCACCTCACCTCTGCACGAAACGCCTGTCCCATCGATGGTCACCTTACATACTGCACAGACTGGAGGTTTCTTCCGGAAAACCTTCTCCCGGAAGCTATGAGGCTCAGCTTTCTTAGGCTGAGGGTGGAAGGACAAACAGAGGTGTGAGTTCCCAGTGGGCCCATCTCCATCTCTGGGACTGGGCAGGAGCCTTGCCTTAGCACTGCACTGGTTTCCTCCATCCAGATCAAGCCCTCAAACTTGTAGGACGCACTTGGCCACAGCTGCTTCAGGGCGGTCATTGGGCCTGTCCTCAACTGTGTATGGAATCTGACCCCTTGCGTCACCTTTGCTGGGTCAGCTCCTCCCCAGGGGATCACTTGGGCCCCTCACGTGGCCCTGGTATGTGATGCCCTTGTGGAAAGCCCACATGCTCAGGCTTTCCCCCTGGTGCAGTAGGGGTACTCCCTGACTCTTCCCATCTTGTCCTCCCTTCATGGAGACCTGTGTGCAGAGTGAGCAGGGAGATTCCAGACATACGTGTTGTATGTCAGTCCTGCAGCACCAGACTGAGCCAGCAGGAGTGGCCTCAGCCAGTCCTGCTCCTTTAGCTCCTGCTGTCCCCACACTCCAGGCAGCTGACATGCCCTCCTCCCCCACGGTCAGAACAACATGTTTACTCATTGTGCATTGAGGCAGCAGACAGCAATTGGATAAGGGGGGTGGTCATGCTGGAGGGAAACAGAGGCCTGTCACTGGGGAGAGATGTTTAGCTGGTTTTGGATGCTGTGAGCTCTCCCCCGACCCCCTGCCCCCTGGCACTTGGGATTCATTCACACACTGAATGAGGAAGGAGTGGACCAGATTCCCTGTTCAGCCCCTCCTGATCCAGAGGTGCAGTGAAGCAGGAGCCTGGGATGCCCCCTTATGGCCCAGGCCTATCTCAGTCCCTTCCCCTCCCACTGTGGGTTCACTCCTCCTATCCTCTGTCTGGGGACAGCTTGTCTCCTTGCCACCTCTCTGTTTTACCCATATTCCCCCTCCTCTGGAGTTCAGACTCCTGCTATCCTCCTCCTGGGGACCCATCACAGTAGTCTCTCAGGTTGTCCTGAGCTGCTGCTTTTGGGGCAAGGCTGGGAAGTTGGGAAAGGGAGTGATGGGGATGTGGGCAGCATCTCTGGTTTTTTGACTGTCCCTGCAACACTTCTGGGCTGGACCAACTTTGTGGGACCCACTAGGACACTTGGGAGCATGCAGGCATTAGCAGCAGATAGGGATGCTGTCAGTGGAAAGCAAACCTCCAGTTCGAAAGCACTCCTGACTCCCTCTCCTCTCTCCTTTTCTGCCCTGCCACCCCATTTTCCTCAAACTTCCCCGGGCCAGGGAAGGGGCCTGATGATCTCTGAGTCTGCTCTAGGATACCTGGATAGTGCGTGGCAAAGTCCTACAGTGAGGTACCTGGGGCTTAGGTTTGGGGGGCCAGGACCCCCAGGGTTGACCCAGGCTAGAGCAGGGAAGGTGAGAGGAGCCAAAACAGACAGCGGTACCCACTGTAACCCAAACATCCCCTCACACTACAGCCCTGGCCACTCCGGAGGGGATGCTGGGCCAGGAGAGAAGGCTGAGGAAGCTGAAATTGGGAAGAGGGCCTGGCCTGATTCCAGGTCCCCTCCCCCACTGCCCACACCTCCACCCCTGCCCCTCTTTTGCCCAGCTGGTGGGCACTCCTACCCTGCTTGTGGCCCGGCTGCTGTCCCTCCTCCCCAGGGCTCTGAGCAGCCTCTCCACAGGGCCGCTGGACTTCATGGTGTTCTGCTGGCTGGGGTGCTGGCCCCAGGGCCTGAACAATGCTGGGGCCTGGCCCGGGGCTTCCTGGAAGCGGCCTGGCGGAGGCAGCCGCTTCCCCTGGGCGGAGGGTAGGCTGTCTGGCTGGTGTGAGGAGAAGCCCGGCCCTGGAAGTGGAGGGAAGTGCAGGCGGGAAGGGGGCAGGTCGCCGCTCCAGGAAGTGGAGGGGGGAGGATGTGGGGGAGGCCAGGAGATCAGATTCCCAGGATCTACCCTGCTGGGAGTGTCAGCCTGTGATCTTTTGCTCCCCCCATTCCCCAACTCTGGAGTTGTCCCACACCTGGGACACCACACTCTCCAGGGATCTGCAGGGATCCATGGTCTTGAGATCCTGCCCCCAGTGGGGCCGGGTGAGAATTCTGGTCTCAGGGCAGGGCTAAAGGGCAAGTGGGGAACAGTGTGTCCCAGCCAGGCTCCAGCCAGAACTCTCAAGCCCTCGAGGGACTTCCGCTGGGGAGGGAGTGGAGCTGGGAACTACTACCAGCAGGCAGGCCCAGGATCCCGAGTGTGTCCTGAGAGTCAGGTAAAAATGGGACTGGGGGCCCCCTTCCTGTCTCAGTTTCACTCTGTATGAAGTAGGAAAAGGAAAGCATGCACCGCCCACCTTTACCCTCAATACACCTTGCAAGGCCAAGTTCCAGCCACAAGACTGCTTTGCTCAGGTTTGGGGAGTAATCCATTTTCCTGCCACAGCCTAAGGCATATGAGGCCCTTCTCCTGAAAGCCCCCAGGTTTCTGCTCCTGACACAGTGCCCCCCACTCACCCATTCCCTGGCTTTGTTTCAGACATGATCTCACAGATCCCTAGCCCTCTTTCCAGCCCTGCAACTTGGTCTCTCCACCCAAGGGCTGCACCCTCCCCCTGCTGCAACCCCGAAGCCTGAGTACTACCTTCATGGCTCTCCTGGGTCTGCTCTCCTTCCTCAGCAGCTGTCCCAGGGCCTGAGGACTGGACAGGAGGTCCCCCCTCCCAACACATACTCCACCCCCATCCATGGGCCTCCCGCCTCCCTCCTGGGAACATGGCCAACTTCCCGTCCTGGGAGTCAAGGGAGGGAGGTGGATGGGGCCTTGGAAAAGGGGGAGTAATCTCCCTAAAAGCTAAGGGGTTAATGGCCTGGGAGTCTTCAGCCCCAAGCTGTGGACAGCAGCCCCTGGGACCGGCTGTAGCTGTCACTTGAAAGAATGTGCAAATGTGCCCCTCTCATTTGCATGGTATTTATTGAATGTCCCAGTACTCAGGCAACTCCCACAGCCCTGGCTTCTCCCACGGGATCCCTTCTATTTGCCTCCTGCTCCTTCATACCCGTCAGGAAGGGTTCTCTGGGATGGAGAATCCTGCATTCTCTGGGGTGAGGCCTGCTGTGGGTGCCCACTTGAGACCCTTGTGAGAACCTGACTGGGCTGGGCCTAGCCTGAGACCTCTCCCTTGAAGCTCCAATTTTCCAGGCCAAGAAGTGTGTCCCCAGGATATCCTGGCCAGAAGGTGGCATCTGTGTGGCAGGCCTGGGCCCCCAGCCTGTAACTGGAGAGGAGCATGGGCTCTGCGACCCACCCCCATCCTGCCAGGCTGGCTGTGTCCCAGCACATTCCAGGCCCCTGGCCAGTGTGGGCAACCGGGCCTGGCCTTGTCCAGCCCCCAGCCCTGCTTGGGGGAGATGAGGCAGTGTGACAAGGTGGGCGGTGGGGGTGGCTTTTTTCTGTCCAGTCCCACCTTCTATGGCACATGGCCCTGACCAGGACTCTACAGGATTCGATCTCCTGCTGCCTCCATAGGGGCTGAAAGTCCCCTCACCTGGAACAGGTCCCCAGACATCCTCTCACCTTCACTGGTCTCACACTCCCCACCCAGACCCAGCAAGGAGATGCCCAAGCAGTGAGTCCGGTGAGGGGTGGGGTGGTCACGATCCACTGTGGCTGTGAGTCCCTCCCATCCTGTGGCACTCACACCTCGGAAGGGAGGCAGGGATGGAATCCCTATGAGCCAGTCCCGAGGGGAAAAGTAGCTCACTTGAGGAGGGCTGGGAAGGCATCACTAGACCCACTTGGACCCTCACCCTCCTCCCGCCTGTAACATTCCAGAGCCTGTCAACTTCTCCCCCAGCCGGGCCCCCTCTTTCTCCGAAGTCTTGGGTTTGTTTGCAGAACCCCCTCCACCCACACCCCCTTCCTGGAAATAGCTGTGGTTGGAAGGGAGGCTGGGAGCCCGGCCGCCGCGGAGGAGGGGTAAGGCCCAGGGAAGGAGCGAGGGAGGGCGGCGGCTCTGGGGGTGTGCCCAGAAGAGTCTGAATGGTGGAGGCAGAGAAGGAAGGGGGTCGCAGAGCGGGGCTGGCGAGTCGAAGTAGCCTCGTCTGTGCCCGCTTAGGGCCTCAGTGTCCCACATGTGAAGCAGGAAAGGAAAACGTTCGCCCGCACCCTGCCAGGCCGGGTCCCGGGCGCCGCTCCCCGCTGCTGCCGGGTC